GGAGAGAGAGAACTATGAAGAAGAATTTACTAATGATTTTACTTGAGTCGTAATGTTTTTCTGAACTCTGAAGAAGACATTTCTATGATTTTAACTTGAGTCGTAATGTTTTCTGAACTCTGAAGAAGACATTTCTATATTTTATTTGAATCGTAATGTTTTCTGAACTCTGAAGAAAGACATGTTCCAATTGATTTTAACTCTGAAGTCGTAATGTTTTCTGAACTCTGAAAAGAATTTCAATGATTTTACTTGAATCGTAAGTTTCCTGAACTCTGAAGAAGACCATTTCTATGAATTTTTTTGAATCGTAATGTTTTCTGAACTCTGAAGACGACATTTCATGATTTTATTGAATCGTATGTTTCTGAACTCTGAAGAAGCATTCTCATGATTTTGAATCGTCATGTTTTCTGAACTCTGAAAAAGAATTTCTATGATTATACTTCGAATGTAAGTTTTCTGAACTCTGAAGAAGACCATTTCTATGATTTTATTGAATCTAATGTTTTGAACTTGAGAAGAATTTCTATGATTTTATTCGAATCGTAATGTTTTCTGAACTTGAAGAAGAATTTCTATGATTTTATTGAATCGTAATGTTTTCTGAACTCTGAAAAGAAGACATTTCCATGATTTTACTTGAGTCGTAATGTTTTTGAACTGAAGAAGACCATTTGTATGATTTGATTGAATCTGTAAGTTTTCTGAACTCTGAAGAAGACCATTTCTATGATTTTATTTGAATCGTAATGTTTTCTTGACTCTGAGAAGACATTTCTATGATTTTATTTGAGCTCGTATAATGTTTTTCTGACTCTGAAGAAGACCATTTCTATGATTTTACTTGAAGTTGTAATGTTTTCTGAACTCTGAAGAAGACCATTTCTATGATTTTACTCTGAGTTGTAATGTTTTCTGAGCTCTGAAGAAGACCATTTTCTATGATTTTAGTTGAATCGTAATGTTTTCTGACTCTGAAGAAGACCATTTCTATGATTCTATTTGAATCGTAATGTTTTCTGGAACTCTGAAGAAGACATTTCTATGATTTTATTTGAATCGTAATGTTTTCTGAACTCTGAAGAAGACCTTTCTATGATTTTACTGATCTGTATGTTTTCTGAACTCTGAAGAAGACATTTCTATGATTTACTTGATTCGTAATGTTTTCTGGACTCTGAAGAAGACATTTCTAGATTTTACATTTGAATCGTAAATGTCTTCTGAACTCTGAAGAAGACCATTTCCATGATTTTACTGAATCGTAATGTTTTCTGAACTTGAAGAAGACCATTTCTATGATTTTATTGAATCGTATGTTTTCTGATCTCTGAAGAAGACCATTTCTATGAATGTTTAACTTGAGATCGTAATGTTTTCTGAACTCTGAAGAAGACCATTTCATTGTTTTTTTTTGAATCGTAATGTTTTCTGAACTCTGAAGAAGAATATTTCTATGATATTACTTGAATCATAATGTTTAGTGAACTATGAAGAAGACCATTTCTATGATTTTAGTTGAATCGTAATGTTTTCTGAACTCTGAAGAAGACCATTTGTATGATTTTACTTGAATCATAATGTTTAGTGAACTATGAAGAAGACCATTTCTATGATTTTAGTTGAATCGTAATGTTTTCTGAACTCTGAAGAAGAATAATTCTATGATATTACTTGAATCGTAATGTTTTCGGAACTCTGAGGAAGACCATTTCTATGATTTTACTTGAGTCGTAATGTTTAGTGAACTATGAGGAAGACCATTTGTATGATTTTAGCTGAATCGTAATGTTTTCTGAACTCTGAAGAAGAATATTTCTATGATATTACTCGAATCGTAATGTTTTCGGAACTCTGAGGAAGACCATTTCTATGATTTTACTTGAGTCGTAATGTTTTCTGAGCTTTAAAGAAGACCATTTCCATGATTTTACTTGAGTCGTAATGTTTTCTGAACTCTGAAGAAGACCATTTCCATGATTTTACTTGGGTCGTAATGTTTTCTGAACTCTGAAGAAGAATATTTCTATGATTTGAGTTGAATCGTAATGTTTTCTGAACTCTGAAGAAGAATATTTCTATGATTTTATTTGAATCGTAATGTTTTCTGAACTCTGAAGAAGACTATTTCTATGATTTTACTCGAATCGTAATGTTTTCTGATCTCTGAAGAAGAATATTTCTATGATTTTACTTGAGTCGTAATATTTAGTGAACTATGAAGAAGAATATTTCTATAATTTGAGTTGAATCGTAATGTTTTCTGAACTCTGAAGGAGACTATTTCTATGATTTTACTTGAATCGTAATGTTTTCTGAACTCTGAAGAAGACTATTTCTATGATTTTACTTGAATCGTAATGTTTTCGGAACTCTGAAGAAGACTATTTCTATGATTTTCCTCGAATCGTAATGTTTTCTGATCTCTGAAGAAGAATATTTCTATGATTTTACTTGAGTCGTAATGTTTAGTGAACTATGAAGAAGAATATTTCTATAATTTGAGTTGAATCGTAATGTTTTCTGACCTCTGAAGGAGATCATTTCTATGATTTAGTTTGAACGTAATGTTTTCGGAACTCTGAAGAAGAATATTTCTATGATTTTACTTGAGTTGTAATGTTTTCTGAACTCTGAAGAAGAGCATTTCTATGATTTTACTTGAGTTGTAATGTTTTCTGGACTCTGAAGAAGACCATTTCTATGATTTTATTTGAATCGTAATGTCTTCTGAACTCTGAAGAAGACCATTTCCATGATTTTACTTGAATCGTGATGTTTTCTGAACTATGAAGAAGACCATTTCTATGATTTTAGTTGAATCGTCATGTTTTCTGAACTCTGAAGAAGACCATTTCCATGATTTTACTTGAGTCGTAATGTTTTCTGAACTCTGAAGAAGACCATTTCATTGTTTTTTTTTGAATCGTAATGTTTTCTGAACTCTGAAGAAGAATATTTCTATGATATTACTTGAATCATAATGTTTAGTGAACTATGAAGAAGACCATTTCTATGATTTTAGTTGAATCGTAATGTTTTCTGAACTCTGAAGAAGACCATTTGTATGATTTTACTTGAATCATAATGTTTAGTGAACTATGAAGAAGACCATTTCTATGATTTTAGTTGAATCGTAATGTTTTCTGAACTCTGAAGAAGAATAATTCTATGATATTACTTGAATCGTAATGTTTTCGGAACTCTGAGGAAGACCATTTCTATGATTTTACTTGAGTCGTAATGTTTAGTGAACTATGAGGAAGACCATTTGTATGATTTTAGCTGAATCGTAATGTTTTCTGAACTCTGAAGAAGAATATTTCTATGATATTACTCGAATCGTAATGTTTTCGGAACTCTGAGGAAGACCATTTCTATGATTTTACTTGAGTCGTAATGTTTTCTGAGCTTTAAAGAAGACCATTTCCATGATTTTACTTGAGTCGTAATGTTTTCTGAACTCTGAAGAAGACCATTTCCATGATTTTACTTGGGTCGTAATGTTTTCTGAACTCTGAAGAAGAATATTTCTATGATTTGAGTTGAATCGTAATGTTTTCTGAACTCTGAAGAAGAATATTTCTATGATTTTATTTGAATCGTAATGTTTTCTGAACTCTGAAGAAGATTATTTCTATGATTTTACTCGAATCGTAATGTTTTCTGATCTCTGAAGAAGAATATTTCTATGATTTTACTTGAGTCGTAATGTTTAGTGAACTATGAAGAAGAATATTTCTATAATTTGAGTTGAATCGTAATGTTTTCTGAACTCTGAAGGAGACTATTTCTATGATTTTACTTGAATCGTAATGTTTTCTGAACTCTGAAGAAGACTATTTCTATGATTTTACTTGAATCGTAATGTTTTCGGAACTCTGAAGAAGACTATTTCTATGATTTTCCTCGAATCGTAATGTTTTCTGATCTCTGAAGAAGAATATTTCTATGATTTTACTTGAGTCGTAATGTTTAGTGAACTATGAAGAAGAATATTTCTATAATTTGAGTTGAATCGTAATGTTTTCTGACCTCTGAAGGAGATCATTTCTATGATTTAGTTTGAACGTAATGTTTTCGAACTCTGAAGAAGACTATTTCTATGATTTTACTCGAATCGTAATGTTTTCTGAACTCTGAAGAAGAATATTTCTATGATTTTATTTGAATCGTAATGTCTTCTGGACTCTGAAATAGATCATTTCCATGATTTTACTTGAATCGTAATGTTTTCCGGACTCTAAAGAAGACCATTTCTATGGTTTTACTTGAATCGTAATGTTTTCTGGACTCTAAAGAAGACCATTTCTATGGTTTTACTTGAATCGTAATGTTTTCTGGACTCTGAAGAAGATCATTTCTAACATTTTACTTTGATCGTAATGTTTAGTGAACTATGGAGAAGATCATTTCTTTGATTTTACTTTGATCGTAATGTTTAGTGAACTCTGAAGAATACCATTTCTATGATTTTACTTGACTCATAATGTTTAGTGAACTCTGAAGAAGACCATTTCTATGATTTCAGTTGAAGCGTAATGATTTCTGAACTCTGAAGAAGATGATCATTTCTAACATTTTATTTCGATCGTAACGTTTTCTCTGCCTAACTAAAATGCTCATTTTACTTATCTTTTTATGAAAATGTTTTGGATGCAAACAAAATCGGAATTTTTTTTTCATATAATCTATAAACAAACCGTAACCTATTATCAAGCAAAAGATTGGAAATAGAATGGTCATAAATAGCATTTCAAGAATATTCTTTTTATTGAACCCAATAACCTTATAATGGAACATACAATTCCAACTGTATCCGACTACAAATCGATTTAATTCTAACAAATCGTAAGGACCATTCTCAGAATTGAATCTATTTTAAGTATTTGCAACATATTAATTCCGACTTGCATAATGGATATCTTCTTTATTTAAAAAGCACATTTATAAATCAAAAAATTAAGATAATGTTTTCAGCCATGATAGGGTAGTAGCCTTCCTTCATCTCTTTGAATATCAATAAAGCAGTACTGACGCAACTAATTGTCGTCACGATATTTCAGCATCATTTTTAACATAGATACGTGTATCAATGCATCACGTGATTGTTTTGTCAATATGGAATGCTAGAGTCAAAATCTCTGAAAAACTGAAGCCGTTATAAGCTATAGATATTGAGTGTTGTGGGTTTCAGGTCTATGCCAACTGCTGAAGGGACCTTACATCAACTGTCCCACATCAGCCACATCAGCCACATCTCCCCACTTTCTATAGAAAACTAAAGAGTGTAGTTAATATGCCCTTATGGGTGCAGGACAGGAAGGTTATAATTTTAAATTCTGAGCCTCAAGCTTAATGCTATTAACGACAACTGTGATTAATATATCAGATTTTGGTTGACCAGCGAGAGCTTTACCTTGTTATAGCAAAGCAATGGTCATTTCTTTAGTGACATATGTTTCAAGCATATCAGATTTTGGGATAGTTGGAGGGTCATGGTAGACCACCTTCTGATAGAAGATGGTACGTGATGATGATGATCATGAAATGTATCCGATCAAACAAGCAACAACAGAGGCAACCCCCCAGATTTGAAATTCGGTTGTGTCTTGGTTGCGTGCATTTGCATCAATTTCAAAGCAGTTAAAATCTCCGAATTCATTGCTAAGATAAACTTACAAGAAAAGAAGCAGAAGATGAAATGCAGAAAAGACTGCAAGGACACATTTTACATTTACTAATGCAATCAACATAAAAGTGTCAACGTTATAACTACTAGCTTTTGTCAAATTACCTTTTATTACGAATGGATTAACTGGCTATTAAGATCCAAATCAAAATTATCAATAATTTCATAATGTATAGTTAAAAATTATCATAATAGTATTGGACTTCCTTTCAACTCAGTTAATGTGTTCATTTCAATTTCGACACTGCCACTGGAACAACATCTTATATCATATTTGATTATACATTTACATACTTGCATTGATTCATAAAACATTGCTGCCTTTCACAAACAAACTGCAAATGTGTATTTACAGATAAAAACAACAACCTGTGATTTTATTAATGTAGATGTGCATAGATACACGTGCATTTAAACTTTAAAACTACAGAATGATGCTCAATAAAATTTTCAATTGCGAACAAATTAAAGCTAAGCATATTCAAATAGCAGAGATCCACTTTGAAGTAGGTCAGAGAGGTATCATGAAATTCTAAAATGGTGAAGTTTTGATCTCAGCCAAAGATATGAAAGCTTCACATCATCTCAATCAACGCTTAACTGTTTTGAAAAAGTTAATTTGATTCAAATAGAGAAAATCTAGAGTTAAAATACTATTAACGCAGGCACGCTGGAGCAAGAGGGCTTTGGGGCTGTAGGCCCTCACTCATTTGCTGAAGTGTGATATTAATGTTTTGGTATCCCAGATAATGGCGGAAAACTACCATAAAAATTGCCAAATTGTCTAGAGCCACCACCAAGTCTCCAAGACAGGGAGGTAAATTAACATCAATGTCAAGTTCAGTTGGATTGAGAAAATCGACATGCCAAGGAGGCAATAATGAGCCTTTGTAAGTCTTAAGTATATTAAAAATGCAAACAAAATGAAAATAAGGAATAGCGAATGTCCATGAAGGAAAAGGTATTACTGTAAGTCCTCGATGGAGAACCTTTGTAATCACGTCTTCAATGAACTATGGTCGATTTCTGGTCAATTTACGGAAATCTCACAAATTGTTAAAGGCTCATTAAGAAGATTTTGCTGAACAAAGATGTATCTCCCGCGCAGAGAATGTGTGCACTCAATCCTCTTTGTGTCATTAGATGGGAAACCAGCGCTCGAAATACAAGGCGGGTTGGCATTGTAAGCACGTGTGTTGCCAACCCGGATATCGAAATTTCCCAGCCTGTATGTAAAATCTCCGTATGTTTGGTTGTATCTGTTTGTGATAGTTACACTGAAGACATGAACATCACTTTGCAAATCAACCATCCACCAGGCGTTGGCAGTATTTTCTGCTGTATGGGTACATGTTGTGTTCACGCCATCAACTGCATTGCTACTAATCATTTCGTCGATTGTTCACTTGGTTTCTTAAATGCAGAATCTGAAAAATTGTCAATTAAGACATAAATTTCGGCTGCTCAAAATTAAAAGAAAAGTTTCAGTCTTTGTGAGGGGTGAAGAAAGGGTTCTCCCTGCCTTCTTAAATATCACAGAAACTGAAATTCTAAATGAGGCTTTTTAATTTCTTATTATATCATATATAGGTAAATAAAAACGATAACCAATGGAGTTGTGGGTGTTGTGGGTCGAGTAATGAGTACGTGTTGTACGTCATGTTGTACGTCAAAGGTAAATAAGAACGATGCCTGGCCGACAATCAATCTTAAATGACGACGACCTGTATCTAAAACGCTCGAAAGTCGAAAGTCGAAAGTCGAAAGTCGAAAGTCGAAAGTCGAAAGTCGAAAGTCGAAAGTCGAAAGTCGAAAGTCGAACGTCGAAAGTCGAAAGTCGAAAGTCGAAAGTCGAAAGTCGAAAGTCGAAAGTCGAAAGTCGAAAGTCGAAAGTCGAAAGTCGAAAGTCGAAAGTCGAAAGTCGAAAGTCGAAAGTCGAACGTCGAAAGTCGAAAGTCGAAAGTCGAAAGTCTAAAGTCTAAAGTCTAAAGTCGAAAGTCGAAAGTCAAAGCTTGAAGCCCGAGAGTATAACCCAGGGGCACTGCTAGGCGGGACGGGCCACGAAGCGAATGCCTGGGCGAGAACCAGAAGGCGAAACTTTTTAAGAACCACGCCTTGTTTTTCCCTCATTGCTTTGTAGCATGGTTCAAATGTTTATCTTTTCTAGATCGTTCTCTATCAATACAAAAGAGGTATGAATGCGGTATTACAAACTAAGACAAAAAGCTAGTATCGTGGCAATTCAAAATTAATCAATTTTTAACCCCTTCTCTTCCCGACAAATTGGTACCCATTATTTTTCAAAGCCTTCACGGTAACACTTTACGAGATTTTCAAAGGCAGAAGCGTCGATAACATCACTAAAGTCAGTACTTTTAGCAACATCACTTTCAATACACAGAACAGCCGCGTCATCCAGTAAGCCATCATTCCTTGTTATTTCAACGAACCCACTAGTCTGAGCTCAGATCGTCGAAAAGATATTTTAAACTAAAAATCACAGAATAAATTGCAAACACTTTAATATTTAATTTCAGACCTTTTCGAGCCCTTACGGAAAAAGCCTAATTGGAACTTTGCATTATCGTAAAAAAAATAACATTGATTTTGGGCACGGGCCCTCTTTGGCCCCGGACCCCGGGGCACTGCCCCGGCTGAACCCCCCTATCGCTGCCACTGGTTGACATTTACATGCAAACCCGAGAATGGACTGGACCTTACAAAAGCAAATATGTCGTATGCTTCCTAAAAAGTTGCAAAGAATGTAATTTCTTAAAAGGACTTTCAAATAAGGAAATGTGTTTACTTTACTACCGCCTAAGAATCTGACAAGGAGATACGCCTAAGAAAGGCAATAGTAAACCCAAAATTAAAAGTAGCATCTTTAGTACAGAGATAATATTTAGGCTTGGCTTTCGTGACCCCTTTCAGCTCATGGCTTAAACTTTTTATAGCAAAACGACTGCCAAAGAGAACCCGGTCTTGGTTCAAAGAACAAGTTCATTTGCAAAAGCAATCAAGTTTACATTATCCTTAATTTTCTTTGTTTATATTTGAAGTCATTAGGTGATTTTTTCTTGCATGTTCCATGGTTTTCCACCCTCGGTAACAGAGTCTCTATTATTTAGTCTCAGAAAAACAGCTAGAAACTAGTCACAGCAAATTTTTTCAACGAGGATTGCAAATAGATACTTAGGTTCGAAGATGACTAATCTGGTTTTAGTTTACCTAGCAAGACAAGGAATCTTATCAGATCAGTCCAGAGCCTCTTCCCTTCCCATCTTCTACATCCACTCATTCTTAGCTATCGCAGCCATCTACAATACTTTATCGTCGGGTTAATGAGGCCCTGGTACCCAGGCAGTTGCTGTGCCAGACACCAGGCTCTGCCCCAGTTGCAGCGCCGTTACTGTATCCAGGATAGCGGTGGATACGTTTCCAGCCTTTTGAAACCAGAGCAACTTCTCTCTGAAACTGCCTTTGTTGCAGGCATCACTAGAAGGAAAGCCAATCTGGTAAGGAGTTCAGAACGCAGCATTCTCGTCTTTTTAACGTTTTCTTGAAGTTTTTTAAATTACATTCATTGATGTTGCTTCATTGGTGATCAGTCTTTTTGCATAAAGTAGTAAGTGTAATTACATTGAATGTATGTCAGAATCATCCTTGTAGGATACACACCTTCTTGATGGATGAGTAGATTTTCGAGCTCGACATATTTTTTGCGCAACCTCTTGGTTCGACCTATCTTAAGTCCTTGAATCCGAAGCCTCTTTGTAGATCTTTTCGTCTTGCATTGTTGAGAAGAACCGGGTGTATAGTTTCAATCTCAAAACAAGCTATCTTCTGGGAAAGTGCTGGAGGATTAATATTGCATTCAGACATTTTTATTATCAACGCCCAAAAGCTGCTAAAATCTTTTTCACTGCTCATTGCTTCTGGTGATTTAGTAGTCGAGTCAAGTGTGCAACGGTTTGACCTTTTGAAGAGACATCATGAGCATCAAGTGGTACGACAAGATCACAAATGAAGAAATCCTATCACGTGGTAACTTGCCGCCAATGGCTGATATCCGCATTAAGAAAAGCTTGAATTGGCTCGGCCATGTTCACAGGATGGAACGTGATCGCCAATTGTTATACTCACAACTCTATAATGGCAATCTGAATCAATGAATATCTATGCTCAGATTCAAGGATGTGGCCAAAAAAAAAGGAAGTGGAGAAAGATTGAGAGAGAGAGAGAGAGAGAGAGAGAGAGAGAGAGAGAGAGAGAGAGAGAGAGAGAGAGAGAGAGAGAGAGAGAGAGAGTTTGTGACCAGCCGGGACTGTGAAGGTTGACAGAAACGTGGGTGAGAGGAGGCCTTGTAGGTGTGATGAGGGAGGCGTTAGAGTGAGGAAGGAGAGTCGTAGATGCATGACGAGAAGAGCATAGGTGAGAGTCGGACGGGGAGTCCTCGGACATAGAGTTTGGAGAGTATGTAGGGGAGACTCAATGGTGAAGGAAGCGTAGAGATTCGGCTGGCAGATAAAATGTCGGGACTCGGTATCTGAAAGCGGTGAGGATACGAGAACGAGATTTGTAAGGTCAAGAAAATGGAGACTTAGAGGATTTGAGAGCGCACGAATTTGATCAGAAAAGGTCAGAAGTGAAGTGTGAGGTATGATCGCGAGAATCGGAGTCACGAGTTTGTAAGATAAAGCGAGGCAGGGTGAAGGAGACTCGATTCTAAAGACGCAGAAATGAGCACTATAGTAGAAGGAGGCTGAGGACTGTTACACGATGAGACAGATCAAAAGATTAAGGAATGGAGAAGATGACCAGAGACATCTGAACGATGCAGATGCGAGAGGGGTAAAATCGATGTGAGAGGACGAGGGAGAAGAGAGAAGAGAGAGAGAGAAGAGAGAGAGAGAGAGAGGAGAGAGAGAGAGAGGAGAGAGAGAGAGAGAGAGAGAGAGAGAAGAGAGAGGAAGAAGAGAGAGAGAAGAGAGAGAGGAGAGAGGAGAGAGAGAGAGAGAGAGAGAGAGAGAGAGAGAGAGAGAGAGAGAGAGAGGAGAGAGAGAGACGTTTCCGATATGATATTTACCTTATTTCATTTCAACTAGTAGTCGCGTAGCGTACACTCGTAAGAACGATGCACTGATCAATTTCCCGCCAAAAAGTTTAATGTTCAGTAAATACCTGTGATCATCCTGTAAAAGTTCATTAAACAATAGCTTCTTGTTGATTGATAAATAGAATAGCCGAAGAGATCTTTAGCAAGTGATATTGTTCTTTTCAGTTTATTCACGGATAATATGATTCACGCCAGTCACAATGACTTAGAAATATTGAGGTTGTTGGAGTAACCTTTTTAAGAATTGTAAATCCTTTTCAGAAATTTGGGCGATTCAACACCCCTAGGCCCCAACTATCTTGGCTATCGATAGAATGTGGCTGCGGCTGATTTGCAAGGTTGATGTTTAGCTGAAATCTGTCATATAATGTCTTTTGATAAAACATTTAAGCCATTGAGGTAGCAGAGTTATGCTTCGTTAAATGCAGACAGCAGATTTTTGAGTTATTGTTAGGATATGTTGTATGCAAACTTTGGCTTTAGCTCCCCTTGCATAGGCCCGGTAAAGCTTTTGGGGGCTGAGGTACAAAGAAAATTAGGCCTACCATGACGGTATATAAACTGCGATATGTTGATACTGTTTCCTTTATGAATTATTGGCTAATTATATGAATTCATGTAATTTATTGACAAAGATACTGCCAGGCCTTTCAGCTTCCTGACTGCTACATTGTCGATCTCAAATAGGATTTAAGTTTTTAAGAAATTATAACTAAAATGACTAAAGAAGTGTGCACTTTAACAAGTTTTCTTGATTCAAAATCTGCCTTAGCTACAACTTCCTTAGACCGAATATTGACTACAAACAAGATTCCGAAAGCAATAATTATCAGAAGTCAAAATATTTGTACTATTTTAATCACGTTTAACCTTTGCTTGACGATGAGCAGTATCTTTCATCTTCATAAACCTCAAGCTCGCATACGTTGAAAGATATTCTTGCCTGTTCAAAAAGATACTGACGTAACGACCCATTTTCAGGATCTGTGGACAATCGAACTTTTTCAACTCTCCTCTGTCCAGTGTCCGCTTCACACATAGTGCATTGTTTTGTCGCCATTCTTGAAACTATCATCCGCCCAACACTGACATCGGAATGCGATTGAGGTCAGTATTCTTTTTCAGGATCCCAAGCTGCAGCATTCATTATTCGGACAAATGTGACTGCAGCTTGCTTGTTGAAGATCCACTTGCCACCAGGGACTGTAGTTCAGTTCTGTGACACTGCATCGCTCCCAGTCCCAAGTTGGGTAACCATCATTGCCATAGCTGGCAACTTATGAATACTTATATATGATGAAGTTGATTGAC